TTTTCGTACTGTTTAATTAAATTAAGATGATACTTGCAGAAAATACTTTCTGAAAGTGTTCTCTGAAAGTACTCTCTGATGTTAAATTAAGTAAAGATTATGCTACTTCAACCATTAATGCATAATAAATAAATTTATCTACTTTATTACATCAAATTTGTGTTTATAGATCTTGGGATGTGTTTCAAATTATAAACAATCTAATAATGGTCCAACTTATATTAATCATATTTTGGTGTAAGCTAATCACTATCAAACTTAATCTTTGTTTAAAAATAATTGTTTAGTTTGTAGGATACAGTCTCTTAATTTCTAAATGATTTAATGAACATTTTTTATTGTGTAAACGGTCTAGTCATAAATTAATTAGACTATCATAGAATATTTTTTTTAATTTTATTTTTTACATATAAAATCTTCTTAATTTAAGTTTATATTTAATGTATTACTTGTCTTCCGTGGATATTCTCAAAGGAGGGCAATAACAAAAAGTCATCAAACAATGTCTAACTAGAAATAATGAAGCCAAATAAATAAGCACAGTTGCAAGTACTTGAAGATGTTAGTCAAATGTCTTAGACAGAAGTTTGTAATTTTTCTGCTAATCAATTAATGTTATGATCCATTGGGACTTTAAAATGAAGAACTTATGTCTCTACTAACCAAACTCAAGTCTAACATGCCTACGGAATTTGCAAAATTCTTTTATGGATCCAAGTTTTCCGAGCTTTGATGGTTTGAGACTTGACTGTTAAACTTTATATGCATATTATCATCTTCCTAGTTAATCACATACTTTGGAATTTAAAAATTAATATTTTAATTATTAAGAAAATCACGCTTTTAGTTTAAGAACATTAAAATAAAGATAAGTAGGTATTAACTTTGATATTCGGAATTAAAATTATTTTTAAATTGTTTAATAAATGTCATTTCATGTTTTAATCAATTTATAATTAAATGTAATATTTTTAATCAAGTTGATGTTAGTGTAAAATAGATCATTAATAACACTTGACAACGATTATTTGGTGATTGTAAAATATATTTTGTAAATAAGTCAATGTGGTCTTTCTTTATTAAATTAATACTAACAATATTAGAAGGTAGTCACATCCCTTTCTACCTCTTGAATCCAACTCTTTTTCACGTTCATTTTCTTCACCTTCACCTTCATAACCCAAAGTACCTACTTTCCACCACACCTACCACCAATGCTTCCACACCTTTCTTCCCAACATACCCTTTTCCCTTTGCTAAATGCACTCATCAAGACCAACACCAATCCGCATAACATCGAAAGTCCTTTTCGCTTAGATTTCATTTTGTAGGGTTTCTTTCTTTTCTTACCTTCTTGCTTACCGATAATGATTGCACATTTGAGTTATTACAATGTCATTTTTGTTTATTCGGATTCGGTCTATCATTATTTTCCCTCTTTGTTCCCCTTCAAAATAATAAAAATCTTAATTTTTAAACTTGACAATATATTTTTACCTTATGTTACACATTAAGTATATGAAAGTGAAAGAGAAAAAGTAACGTTTTTATAAAGAAAAAGAAATTATGACTTTGACAGAGAAAAAACATTCTTGACAATTTTTATATCATAAGGAAGCATTAAAGATGAGTAAGAAAAGGAAGAACAATTAATAGAAATAATTATAAATATATACAAGTAAGTTTTACGGAGAAACATGAAATTCAAGATCCATATTTTCATTTAATTGAAATTATAAAAAATGCTTACAAGTGATATCAGAATCAAGTTCTGGATTTTATGATTCTCCATAAATGATAATTTTCTCAAGTATTTGTTTTTCCTTTCAAATTTAATATAAAATGTAAGTATTACATTCATTTTGAATTAACTCCAATTATTTGTTTTCTATAAAACAAAATGAAAAAATAGTTACACTTCTTGAATTGAATCTTCAATTGATCAATTAAGTATTTTGGGATCACTAATCATTAGTATATATATTTTAATTAAAATTTTATATATTTAATGAAATTTCTATTGATTGTACTTTATGTTGACTTTTTTATGCATATTTAATTATGGATGACTTCATATCTCCACTTTTATTTGTCACCTAAATACCAATTCAAAATACATTAAATATATGAAATGTTGATTAAAATTTGCATACTAATCAACTAAAAACAAGTAAATCTTTCTTAACGTAATATGGTGACACATTTATTTAAAAAAGAGACATTTATATGAATGTAACGAAATTGAATTTTCATAATGTACATACAAAATAGTAACTGGGATACCCTCAACAGTTGCCACTCGAGGTTGATCCGTTCCGTCCAAGTTAATCTTATGGACTAGGACCTCCTGTCATTCCCACACGTGACTTACTCCTCTCTACATGAGAACGAGTAATCATGGAATATTAGGATAAACGCCCGCTAAGCTTGCTCACATTCATACTTTACCAATCAATAACCACTTCCTGAGATATTCCTCCCCGGAATACTCGTTCATAATGACATTATTTCATTCACATCACATTTCAAATTCCCTTACACTTCATCATTAATACCATAATAACACTTCTTAGAAACTAACATGATTGAGCGTTACTTATTAACTTAAATAAACAGACCACTAAGAGTTCAAAACGGACGTCACGAAGCCTAGGCCGAGTACTAAGACTCTAGGCCAACCACCTTTTAAAGACCAACACTGTTTGACACACAATACTAATATGATGAGAAACTATGAAGTAACGACGTCTATGAATTTGAATGAAGATCTCATTCTAAGAACGGTAATAATATATATTACAGAAAACAAGACCCAGCTCTTGGTTTAAGACAGCCTGTAGAATCGAAGCTATAAAACGAACAATGACCCAAGACCAAGTGCTTATCAGGAACGAGCGTTACTAGACTGAACGCTTGGTCCAAGACCGATCATGATAATTTACATAGAAAGATATGAATGAATATAATATATAATATATATATATATATATATAATAAATTACTCCACACTTAGTCTTACTGAAAAAGAACGATAATGTCTACGACCTTAAGTAGTTATAATACATGAACTAAACTGTTTATGAAACCTAAAGAAGGACTACACTTAGGCCGAACACTCATTACACATATCTATTATTATAACACGATCTCCACTAACGGAATTCCTTGTAGAAGAAGAACTTAATATAGACGGACGCTCAAAGGGGAACAAAATGGTTAATACAAACTCTCGGTCAAAGTTTAACTAATCCTATATGAACGCTCGTTAACCACTCTCGACCATACTACCACCTTTACTCAGAATACCAAAGTTTGAATATCAAGTCCTATCTCAACTCAATTCACAACATATATCAGTCATCCACACAAACATCCAAATAAGCAGTACGTACATATTTCATACTCATCCAATAATTCAAACAACATATCATGCAAACATACCAACGTTCAAACAAGAATATTAATCAAATTATATAAGATTCCCTTACCTTTATACGTAACCGAACGCTCAATGAAGCAGAATAGAGCTCCCCTCTACCAAAGAACTAACGTTCGACACTACCGTTTTAGGAGCACTGAACCAAACAGAAAAACCAGAAACACTCAGAATTATACTATCTACTCAGGAGACCAGAAATAGAGGGTTGCATGCAAGACTTAAACGAACCTACTAGAGAGAAAGAAACTCACCGGCTCAGAATCATAAATCGATCAGTTTAAACGAAAGCTCTTGTCGCCGGGAGTGTTCAGACGGTGCCTGAGAGGTGATCGGAAGAGGAAATGGTGAGGTTTTCTTAGAGAGAAGGAGGAGAAAATGGTTTCAGCAGTGTGAGGAAGAAGGAAGGTATGCAGAGAAGTGGCACGTCATTTGAAATTTGGCTTTAAATACTGCCGTCAGCCAAAACGAACGACCACTCTCCTGCAGTCACTTGTTCTCCACTAACTGAGACGCTCACTCTCTTCTTGGCACATGGATCCCACTACTTAGGATTTTGGGTGCATTTTAATGGGGTCTGACAATAATATATTTTGAGAATAATTAATAAAGTATTTTATTTTAGTAAATAAAAAATAAATTTCACAGATTTAAAATAAATTTAGCAACAACCTATATATATACACACACATTAGAGTGTAGTTTGCAATAGTAGTTGTGTAATTTGAATGGACTAAAAATTTACAACATAATATTTAAAAATTCTAATTATTCAAAAATATAATCTTGATTTTCAACAATTACTGCTTTTAGAAAAAAAAAAGTATTTTTTTTATCAATATTTAATCCATATTTATTTATAACTTTTAACAGCAAAATCATTTGTATTTTTTTAGAAATCAATGTGGTTCATCATATTTTCTAAGTTTTATAAGAAAATTATAATGTACATATTATATAATTTTAATTTTAATATATTCATTTAAAATGACGCTGACCAAAATTTAATTTTGTAAAATAAAATATTAAATTATTCGTAATCAACAGCGAGAAATATATAATTATTTTCTAAAATTATTTCTAGACATTAATTTTAAAAAACTAACTTTGACTTAAATATTTTATAAGTAATTAAAATATATTAATTACATAAAAGTTATTTTAACTTTTACACATAAAATAAAATATAAATATTGTTATGAAAACAATTTTGATATTTAAGCGTAAGCAGTCATTTTATTGTTTAAATAGAAAATCTGATATATATTTATTCATATATTTTATTTCATATATAATTAGTTGGAAAAGATATTTTTAATTTAACTAAATGCAGCCTATAATATGTATAGAATGAGGAAAATAATATTGAAACGAAAAGAAGGGTCACTTCAATCATATTCAACAGATAAAAAAGTTTAAAAAATTAAAACCAGATTAAATAAAAAAGAATAAGGTGAATGACCAAAAGTATGATTTTACCTTTAAGAAAATACAATAAATAATTGTTACTATACCTGGTCTCAAAACTCAAAAAAATAAGGTGAAAAAGAATTTACAGAGAATTGGAGAACATTAACATCATATTTCTTTGAGGAACATATTCTCAAGTAAGCTAAAATTGCATATGATAAGAGATCAAATTACAATAAACATGTGATGAACATAACTGGGCAAAAATGAAAGAATCGGCGTTGAAGAAGAACCCATAACTTTATCTGGGTTTAAGGGAAGGTCATTACAGTTGTTGATAAGCACATATTGCCAACCCAAGATGTTTTCCAATCCTTTGTGACTATAAATCTTTCATCTCCAAATTGAACTTTAGCTCTTCTGATCTGGGTTGAATGGGAATGGGCGTATAAATGCAGAATTCATTTGCCAAACTTTGAGTGAGGCTGTCACAGTGGCCTCAGTAGCATTGTTGAACAAGAACAATCTAGCAGCTCCATAGATTGCCTTTGTTGGATAAACCCGAGATGTTACACACGTTCTTCCACCTTGAGCAAAGCTTTCAACAATAGAATGGTCCACCTAAATTATAATATAACGCCGATTCATTAGTTAATCCGGTTAACATGCATAAGCTATGAGCTTTTTTGAGCAAGAAAACAACAGAAAACTTAAAGGAATAACTCAATTACCAGCATCCGTATGGAAAACTTTTCGCCTTTAAGTACTGGAACAACGCTCCCAAAGATTTGCTTGCGAACGTCATTTGCCTGAGAAGACCTACCAAAACAATGTACCAGATTCTTCAATATTGATTTTTTGACAGTCTAGTATGGATAACTTTCAAGTTCAGAATTAACAGATAGTAGTCTAATACCTTGATTGATCAGAGCAAAAGGAAGTCCTAAGATTTCCATTTCTTCCTTTAATGACATAGAAATACACAGGAGTATACTCAGAAAGCCCCTCATCAGCCAAAACCAGAAGACCAAAAGGTCCCAAGGCACCACGTTGTGCAGCTCCACCGCTGCTACTGCATGTGAACTCCTCATTGGATTCAGCTGTTTTCTGTAGGGATTCCGTGTCTATCTCAAACTCCGCAACAACGTCCAACTGTTGCATTGGTACACACAATGTCACTTAACTCAGATTCAACTTTGTTCATGTATAGCTAAAAATTCGACAGCTTTAGAAACTTGTTATATATCATGAACACAAACCTGTGTGGCTGTTTCAATATCTAGTGACAACACTGACCCTGGTTTTGCCTTCAAACTTTTGAATTTATCACTTCTCAATCTCAAACTCTCCACCTCAGCAACAGGCCACTGAAGTAAGTTGCTGCCAGTCTTCGTATCAAGCCTCACAGTTCTTGGAATACTCTGTACAATCAAAATTTAACAATGCTATTACCAACTAATTATAAAGTTAAAAACACATGTACACATTGAACTAAAATAACACAGTTTTTTAAATGAGTAAAAGTTCAGTAACAAACTATCATATACGATAAGTTAACTCGTTTTTACAATATTTATCCTAAAAACCATACTTATGATTTTATATTGATCAATAATCGGAAATTCTTAGGTGTATTATATAAAAATTAAACTTTTATATCATATATAAATGTACCTGAACTGAAGCCCAGCCTTTGGTAACATCTGCATATTCACTGTCAGATTCTCCAATCCAACCCCACAAAATTCTCCTGTTCTTGTTCTGATCAAAAAATGTCTTGGATGCATAGAATATTCCATAGTCATACCTTAAACCAACACCAACATCATTCTTAACATCATCTGGTGTGAACAGAACTTTGTTATCATCGTAAGTCCCTATGGCGTAGTAATCATGTCTATCATCATCCAAGCTGACCTTCATGACATGCTTGACCTCAGCCCCATTAACAGAGGTATCCAATCCATTTCCATTTTTCTTGGACACAGGGAAGAAGTCGACACACTCCCACATGCCAGTGCCAGGGACAGCTCGAAGCAGCCCCTCCTTAAGCTCAAAGGTCTTGAAGTCCTCAGTGTCATAAACCAAAGCAATGCCAGTTTTATTAAGCTTGGATCCTATGGTTATGCGCCACTTTCCTTCAGAGGTGAGCCATGCAGTTGTAGGGTCACGAAAGTCCTTGGCACCAATGCCTGGTGGTGGGACCAAAACCGGGTTCCCGGTGTGTTTGATCCAATCCAGAAGCAGAGGGTCAGAGGGGTCAGCAGGGTATGCCAGGTTTTGAACTTGCACTGACTCATTGGTAGAACCTGTGTATAACATGATGATTTCACCATTTGGTAAGATGGTGGCTGAGCCTGTCCACACGCCTTGCTTGTCATACCATTGATCAGCCACCATTGCCAATGGAAGGTGAAGCCAATGGATCATGTCCCTTGACACCGCGTGTCCCCAAACTATGTCACCCCAAACTGCACCGTTCGGATTGTATTGGTAGAAAAAGTGATACCATCCCTTGTAGTACATAGGACCTGAGAAGAATTCAGGGGAGGAATAAAACCAAGTCAAATTAGATTTCTTTTTTAAATATACTTTTACTTCTCCTAAAATAAAAAGGCACAAGGTTTTATTTATTTATTTTATTATAAATATTTTAAACTAATGATTTTATTTTATTTCCATTTTTTTTATAAATCTCACGTCATCTTATTTCATTTTATGTTATTTAACTCCATATCATATATTCAACCTTATGTGGGCCCTCTGGCAATGCCAATTTGCCACGTTGTGTTGCGTTTGGAAAGTTAATTGCTTCTATATTAGTAGTAATGGATAATTTTGTGAGACTGATTGTTAAACCATTACAATAGGATGTCAAAATCCAATCGAACTCCCTAGACCCCGCTAAACTTTAACTCGGTCCCAGTATTTATGTGGCTGCTATTAATCAGTGCGTTCCGTTCAAGGAGACAATTCTTTATAAATGAAAATGGTGACAATTCAACACAAAATATTCAAATCGGAAAAAAAAAAATAGCAACGAATTAAATCGAATTACGCAAACTTTGCAAGGTGGAAGAGTTCTTACCATTAGGATCTGAAGCAGAGCAAATCAGGTTCCCCAGTCCAAGCCACAGTCATCCAACAAAAAAAGATAAAATAACAGGGACAATAGTTAGCATGAGATAAAATACATATACAAATGGTACAAACATCCACACCAGTATTCACAATTTTTTTTTTATTCAAAGAAAACATTCCGACAAAACGGGATTTGACCCCATCAAAAACTCTTTTTTGAAAAAAAAGATGACTCTTTATTGGCTAAACCTTGATTAATTATAGTCCTTCTCACTTTTGACATGACCTTTTTCCAAGTAGAAAGACCCACGGAATCCTAATTCATATTCCATTTTCGTTTAACCACAAAATGGTATCTCTAAAAAGTGAATTACATAAAACAAACAGACGTTTCGATCGTAAATAATTTCTACTGTAGAGACAAATTATTACACGATACGAGAAAACTATTCAGGCTAATCCAATATCACACATAATCAAAACGTTCCATCTTAATAAAATACAATAAAGTGTCACCTGGATATTGGTTAGGTAGAAGTTGAAGACAAGAAAAACGTGTTGATTTCAAATCGTAGAATTTTAGTTGGGTTAGAGACGAAGCAAGAAAACCAAAAGAATTACCGTTCATCCAGTTTTTCTCTGGCTGGAAATGAAAAGAAGTTCTCTGCCAAGACAACATGCTATTGTCCCAAGGAAAAGCTTCGGAAGCTCCTCCTTCACTGGCGAATAACAAGTTCGATGACTTCTCCGACACCCCGGAAGAAACACCCCTTGAAACAGGGTACCATTGGGAAGAAAGCAGCGATGTGGGACTTTGGTGATCTTGTTGATGGTTGGATGTAGGTGATGAAACGTGAGTATGAGGCACGCCGGAGGCCCTGTAACCCCCATAGGCGACGAGGGAAGAGAGGAAGAGCAAGCCGCAAACGATGAAAAGAAGGTCCTTGCGAGTGGTTGGGGTTGGAGCGGCGTGAGAGGAAGTAGGTAACAACGGTTTATGATGTTCCATGGTGAGAAAGAAAAGATGAGGGACAGAGGAAGTGGCTGTGAATGAAAGAAAGAAAAGAAAGAAAGAGAGAAGGAGTAATCGGGTATGGTGTGTTATGAGTTGTTGGGAGAGACAGCATGCATGTGTGTGGGGATTGGTTTGGGTTGGAAGTGTGCAGAAGGTGGGTTCAGAAGTGAATGGGATGAGAGAGGCTTTTCCTCACGTTGCAACATTTTATAGGACTCGGATCCCAGAGTCTGAAGAAAACCAGCACTGATAGGGATATCAAAGACAGATTTGAACACTAAAAAAAATAATTTCAAAACATTTTTTAATCAGAAAAATGTATGTTTTTATAAAATTTTGGTTTCTTATAATTTGAAAAAGTATTTTCTCAGAATGTCTGTGACATGAAACACATGAATTGTGATGAGTGGATGAGGTGGATGGGATGGGGCCCCCAGGTGGAGGTTCGGACTCAGACATCTATGTCGGGGACATCACATGCATAATTGGAGTTCAAGGTCCTACAATTTTCCAATGCAATGATTCTTCGTTGTCTTTTGTTTCGTTCTTAGTTGAAAATTAAGGCTGTGGTTAAGGATGGTAATTCGGCAAATTTTTGTACACTTTGGTTTGGTTAATGTGTTTCGAAAACTTTCTGCATTTGGATTCATATTTAGGTGGTAATTGTTTTAATAGGAGTATTTTTTTGTTTAAGAGTTTAATTATATACCTACATTGTACTCGTCTCTTACATTTTGATTAACGAAAGAAAAAGATAAACTGATGTGTAAAAACAAACGATAAACGATAAAAGATAAAAGGACTTTATTCAAGATTGGTAGTTAAGAGCTTATTTTTCGTTATTTTACTTTTCTTTCAAGACATTTCATAAATTAATATTTACATGATAGAATTTGTAAAAGGTAAATAATAATATCGCAGAGATGTTTCTACAATGCTAAATTTGTTAACTTTTTTTTACCAAAATTGATTAATTAAAACTATATTATTAAAATTATCTTCACACTAAATATTTGCTTCTATGGACGGAAAAACGTGAGAGAGAATAAAATACAAGAAAGAGAAATAAAATTACTTAATTAAATGTCAAAGATTAAAAATAATTAGAAAGTGAAATGCTCTTTTTATTATTTTTTAGCTTTTAAATTATCAATTTTAAATAATAATAATAATAATAGTAATAATAATAAACACCTATAATGAAATATTATAAGTGATTTACAATATATTATATGTATGTGCTAAATAAATATCATAATAGAGCAGAAATTAAAAAAAATTGAAATCAGCTAGACCTCTTCAAATTATAGTCCATCCTCTCTCATCCCAAATTTGACACTTTCTTGCTGTCAGCTTAATACCAAAAATGTAAGAAATTATTTGGGACAATTAAATTTTTTTCACATGTACAACGTGTATCATGAGAGTTATAACCGCTAAAAATAGTTAATTGATAAAAACTATTACCGAATTGTTTGTAAAAGTCTTTCTATAAACAAAAATAACAAAATATCATTTCTACTAAAATATTTAATTTTCTATAAGATATAATTTACCAGGAATAACATTTTTCTAATGAAACTTTTATTACAACTGAAAAACATACAAATATTTTTTAAAAATAACTTAAATGTTATTTTTAATGCAAATGTCATTTTCTATAAATAAACAAGATAAACGTGTTTTTTCTTCTTCTGAATTTTGATTGTGGAAAAACTAAAATATTTTCTTCCATCAAACGTTCCTTAAATGGAAAGACCAAAATTCAATTAAATTTAAAAAATAAAATTAATCATATTAGTAAAAGACTTTATTTAGAGGAATAAAATAATAAAAGTAAACTAATTAAATAATCATTCGAGGGAAAAACTTAAGACATTCAGTTGATATCTAATAAAACTTGAAAGCTTTCAGAGTTTTGTTGGAAATATTTGAAGTTATATGAGGTGGAAGGATAGATTTAAACTGATATAATTTGTTTATATTTTTAGTTAATTAATATATTTTCTTGCATGGTTTTATTCCGAAATTTTCTATTGATATTAAAATCTATAATAAGTCTATAATATCTATTTTTCTTAAAATGCTCAGAAATAAGAATATTTTTTATAATAATAATATCTAATACGAATAATCTATATAATATAGGATTATAATTGGTTGATTGAATAAACTAAATAGACAATTTTATATGTAACTTTTAATAATGTAAGAGTAAACATAACTCATATACTAGTAAAATTGAATTCAGTTTTTATAGTGCTTTTGAAATAATCAAAGAATCAACTGATTTCATCTTATTATAATTGCCTTTACTTTTGATCTCATAAAAGCCATTCTCACAAATCTTGAAACTCATAAAAATTAATAAATATTCATATATTAATTGAATAAAAAAATTATCATTATATTCATCAGGTTGACGAGTGAACATATAGATCAAACAAAGTTTACTGATTGTTGAAAGATTTATAAAATCTCCTTGCAAATACATAAAAGTTACACTTATGAGTAAAAAAATCTTTAATTTGACATAAAAAAAAATTGACTAAAAACTTAATTTTGAAAAAGTAAAATAATTTATTTAATAGTTTAAAAAAATCTAACTTGTTTTTCAATAATATTTTTTCTTCAATGCAAATCTCACCGAAATCACGAATCCAAATTATGTGTTTATGGAAAGGTGGCTGAGACAATTAAGGCAATGAAAAAGTACTAAGAAATAATAGGTATAAAGAACTGAAAAAGAAAGATAACAGGAACTTACGTGTTAACCGTGTTGGAATTGAAATCTAACCAAATCATTCAATAAGAATTAGTCTATCTCAAGTTTAGTTTTGTCAAAAAACCAACAGTTTTTTTTTCTTTCCTTTCTCTTTCTTATTATTATATTAGCTGTTTGTTTGTAAGATTTAATCAACCATGAAATAATATTTTAGTTTTTAAATTTAAACACAATGGTACATTTTAATTTTAAACTTTAAATATATTTAAGACTTAAAAATATTTTTAACTCTTTAATTAATAATATACTTATATTACGAATGCCAAAATCATACTTTTCTTTTTCAAAATATAATAAATATATACTTTAGTTATATACATACTCCAACGTCTAGATCCATAACTAATATTATATATATAAGAGGTATCTATTTTAACATTTTATATAAATGTTATATTAAATTCCAGAAAATGCACCGTCAGATTATTTTAAACATAATTATGAAAAGAAAAGAAGACGTGAGAAACTAAGCAAAAGTGTGATGAGCATTCCAAATCTACATATAAGAATATTTGAACTAGCAATAGTTTATTGGAGGGGCGTAGGTGTGTTTTAATGTATATGAAGGCATGATCTTCTGTATGACTACAAAAACTTTAGATCTACTCTGCTTCAATATAATAACGTAAATAAACTCATTTAACTTAACTGTCTTTTTTTTTTTTAAATAAGAGTTTAAGATATTATGATAAGATATACTTATATTACTTTTTCAACATTCTCCTTGTAGAGTTTCAAATAATAACATCCACCGTGATGCATAATGTTTATCTCGATGGATAATTTTCATTTAAACATATAACTACTATCCGATGTTTAAATAAACTTCCACATTGTCTTCTTTTTCTCAATATATAGTTTAGGTATCTAATCTTAATACTTTCACATCAATATGCTTATGAAATAATTGAATTATTCTAAACTAAAATAATTGGGTTGAAAGTGAAATTCTCACTTTTTAAAAATAAAATAATTTTATATTGTAAATAAGTTTCTATATCAATTTTAAAATAGATTTTAAATCCCAAATAATTAAAATCATAGATAACAAATATATATTGAGATATTACACATCACATTATGTGAAAATTACACTCAAGTTTTATGGATTGCAATTTCTATTTCAACATACTAATAAGTAATACTAATAAATAAAAAATATATTTAGTACCCCCCCCCCCCCCCTCTAACTTTTTATAGAAACTAGCGTAAATGTAGATGTTTTGTATCCACATTTTTAAATATTCAATTTATATTATAGGTTACATAATATATGTAAATTGATAAGTTATAAGAAAAAACAATAATACGAAAGTACGAAATAACTAAAGTATGAATTATAATAAAAAATAAAAGAGAAGAAAAAAGATGATAAGTTTTATAGAGCAACATTTCAATAACAATTATTTCTAAAAAAAATCATTAATAATTTATATGTTTTAAAAATCGGTTAATAACTTATATCATAAAAGGTAAATGATAATAAAATTTGTTTACACAACCAGAAAGAGATATCATTTTTATATGTAGAAGATAGATAAATCCATAGATGACTAAACAATTAATTAAAATATAAAAAGTATAGTTTGACACAATGTATAATCTATTTTAATCATATATATTTTACATATTCAAAAGTGCATACCTAGAAGTGTATAGCATTAAGTAGTACCTCAACTTAACTAACTATTATATAATATTTATTTGATTTACTACATTATATTTCACGTCCTTTTGTTTTTCAACTCTTAATAACATCAACCATTTCTTATAAAAAGAAAACCTATGTTAGCCTTTCCAATATAAATGTCTTAATTTTAAAAAATATCTTAGATTTGAACATGATACACTAATTTTTAAGTTACGCTGACGTTTGTTGCTGATAGTAAATGACATGCAATTACATTCAAGACATATAGAAACATTATACCTCTACTCTACCCTAAGCATATACTAAATATCACAAATTGGTTTATTTTTTAAAATTATGAATAACTGCACATTTTTTAAATATAGAGATTCCAACAATTTTTTAATTTCAAAAGTTTTGGTAAAAAAGGTATGCTAATTTTAAATCATTTTATATTAAATCCCACTTATAAATTGATATTATGTTGATTTATATTTATCAAAACTCATTTATTTTAGAAAATATGAAATTAAATTTAAAATTTAATATAAATATTTAAATTTCAATTACAAATGTGGCTGCAACAAAATGGTTAGTGTAGAATAACAAACCAAACCAAGAAGGTTTTTAATACGAACGTGTTCCTTTTAATTTCTACTAAATTAAACTTACCAAGCAAATAAAAATAACAAATAAGAGAGTAAGGTTGAGGGGAAATTTGCATAGTAATTTATACTGGTTTGGACTTACCAATCTCACATCCAGTCGTTTATGTCAAATC